CACACACACACACACACACACACACACACACTCTCTGTGCCACTTCAGATCAGCACAGTTGACTCTTCATCTGTTATGCCTTCCCAAGGGTGGGATTACCTTGGGAATTGTAGTGGTGCACTTTAGTCTGCAGAGGATTTATAGGCCGAGTGAACGTTCCAGCACTTCCTCGTTCGCCCAGCTGTCACGGTTTAGATGAGCGCGTTAGAAAGCCGTGAACACCCAGCAGTCCGGGACCATTTCAAGGCCATTAACCACAGGTAACCCCGACACGCTGGCAACAATAATATTGCGTAGACCTTCATCATCATCCACTTATTGCTTTATTACAGCGACAAACTAAAGGACAGCGAACATTCCTACAGGATAGCAGCTAGGGTTTGTATCATGTGCTGTTCATTAGTGTTGGTGCATTAATAATGCAATGACTCATGAAGCATAGTTGTTCCTTGTGAAAGAGCGAGTGAGCAAACATGGTAAACTTAATGAGAGCACGCATGCAAGCAGAGCCACCGAGGCAGGGTGTGCGCTAGCACTCGAACAATAATAATAACTGCTGTTGTTGTTTTGTTTTGCCCCTGATGAACACTTAAAGTCAAGTGGACCCTCAAAGCTGTTTTCTAAGAATGGCCTCTTTTTGTGCATATAATCAAATCTAAATCAGAACCCAGAGCAGCTTTGTCGATTACTCCTCTCACTTTGTTTTTATTTAATCAGACATCGCGGGCATTTCCATGGCTGCAGGTCCCCCGAGTGCTGAACTGAAATCTCTGGATTACAAATACGGTGAGGAGGATAGAGAGGGATCAGCGCTTTATCGGAAATCAAGCTCAGAAATAAACAAACACTTTTCTCCTGACGTTCTTAAACCTTTGACTGCTCATTATTTCTGCTCATTAAGAAAGAATCTCCGAGTGTTTGTCAAATACATCGGTCTGTAAGGAAAAATGAAATGTGCATTTTGGGATGTTTTTGTTCTGTAATGCTGTACATAAGACACGTCTTTGGAACCGCCTTCTTTCATCTGCACAACACTGGCGTTCATGCATTTGATACGTCCGGGTGAACTTC